CCCTGCTGATTCAGCTGCACTGGCTCCCCGTTAAATTCAGAATCCAGTTTAAGGTTTTGACCTTGACTTTCAGGGCTCTGCATGGACAAGCACCAACATATATAAGTGAACTTTTACATCCATACATTCCCAGCAGGTCCCTGAGGTCATGTGACCAGGGCTTGCTTGCTGTCCAACACACGAGGCTGAAAACAAAAGGCGACAAAACTCTCTCCCTTTGAGCCTGAGATCTGTGGACTCAGTGGTCGCTTTTAAAAAACAGCTAAAAACTCATCTTTTTAAACTTGCTTTTGGTTGATTTTTATTTTTAGGTTTTAGCTTCTGTGAAGCACTTTGTGATTTTTATCTTGAAAGGTGCTATATAAATAAAGTTTTACTTACTTACTTACTGAGCTACAGCCACCATACAGTTACCATATTCCACAAGCAAAGGTGCATCAGAAAGGATAATGAATGTTGCGCTTCAGTGCGTTTTTTTTATTCACTATGCTGGAGTGATAATTAGGAATACTATACATCTTTAATTCATTGTTGCTATTCTTCAAAAGTCACATCCATCCATCTTCTCTGGCTTACTCGAAGTTGAATTATAGTAGTAGCGAAATAATCAGGATATTTTCGATGTCTATTTGACCAGCAGGTCCTCGTGTATGATCCAGAGTTGATTCCAGGTGGGGTGAGATTAATAATCACGGCAACAAGTAGTAGGTGTACACCAGGATCTCCTCCAAGTTGGGTGCATTCGGAAACTCTCCAGGAGGAATGCACAACCTGATCCGATGGCCAGACCACCTCAGCTGACTCTGTTTGATGGGAATGAGCAGTAGCTCTTCTCCAGGCTACTCATCGCAATGACTGGAAAATCAAAGCTTTTCCATCTGCCTGACCTCTCTGCTCACATTAGCTCACATGCATTACTGCTACACTCTTCCTGTCACTAGTCGACAAGATCCCAGAGACTCTAAAACTTTTTCGCTTCGGTCAGCAGCTCTTACCCAACTTAGTGGGAGCAGCCACAGTTTTCCAGTAGCCTCAGAGGTGAAAACTCTCATTCTGACTGTTGCACACTTGGCCACAGACTTTCCTGTCGTATGCTAACGGTCATGTTTTGATGAAGCAAAGTGGAATCATGAATATTACAAAATGAATACTTTGGTTTTAGTCTTATATAGAGAGCTTAATTCTAACATCTGACAGTGCTCTAGAATAAAATTATAATGATCAGCAAAATAAATTATAGCTGTTGCATTCTGGGTAGAATATCTGTCTTGCACACTGATGACATACATATGTTCATGTATTTGACCTGTGGACATCACATGAAACAAAACCATAGCAGCTGCTGTTACACATGTTCTCTGCTTTAGAAAAACACAACACAAATATTTAGGTACAGCCATATGAAAACGCACAAATCTATGTGCTCTGAACATATGCGACAGCAGACGAACATAAAGCCTCATCACACACGTGTCCTCTAAGCTTTCTCGCTGTGATTTGTGGAAGTTAATTTTACCCTTCAGCTTCATTTAATTAGAAGCAGCGAGTGAAAAGGGCAGGATTTGAGTCTGGCTGGCTCGAGCCAGCATGTAATGTGGCTCACCGCTGGACCCGAGCAGGATGCCTGGCTGGATCCCTGTTAGGCGTAATCCCTGGATTACTCACATGCACACAGACACGCACACACGCTTACACAATTATTAGCTATTCCTCTCACTCTTAGTGTTAATCTAATCCACAGATAATGCTGCAACCATTCACATATGAAGAAACCTGTATTTTCACTGCTCAAACAAATAGTTTTGTCTTGTGGGTCAGAAATAATCAAATTAAGGTTTTAATCAGGTCATTAAGAATCAAAACATTTTCTGATATTACTTTTTTAATGCCTGGCTGCATGTTATCACACAGCAAGAAAGTTTCTGGTTCAGTAGCAGTTGGATATATTTTCTTTCATGGATCACTTTCGTAATATTCCAATGAGTCTCCAATCCTTTAAAATACAAACAAATGATCAATGTTGCAGAATTGCATAGATTCAAACATTAAGCATTCACTGTAATCTTTCAAAATCTCTGAAACTCAAGAGAACCTGTCTGGGAGGGTATACTGTAGGTTCCTTGAGTAATCCCGGTTCTCAGAGTAGTACGAGTGAGACATCATGCTATGGGATATGCCTGTTTATTCCATTTAGCTCATCATCAGTCCTGATTGGCTGGTGAGTGCGATGACCACAACAGTCCCCACTCTTAGGTAGTTACTATGTTACTATGAAGACATTATTCAAGATAAGCACCTCTTCTCACTTTGCCCAGCAAGATTTAGTCAGTTTGATTAGTCAGACATCTCACTCGTGCTGGTCTGAGAGCCGGGGTTATGCAAGTAACCTAACGTTTTCATTCCTAGCATTGTTTCAGTGTCTTACTAAGAGATATGGAAATGAGAAAAAAGAGACACACGGGTCACAGCTTCTGCAAACTTAATCTTCAGATGAAGTAAAAGGAGGTGTGGAGAACGTTGTCAAGATGTTAGGCATGCATGAACCAACCATCGTAGGTGCAGAGACTGGCCTGGGCTTCAGTGACACCACAGCCTGCATAAGTGCCTGAATATCACTGACATGTAGTATGCCACAGGCGATGAGTCTGTCATTGTCATGGTGTATAAGACAAAAAATACGGTGAAGCATAAAAGGTTCAGCTTTTCAGATTGCAATCACAATAAAAGGGTTTAAATTATTGCCCACAGATCTGGGTTCGCATTACGTTATTTACATCAGCTGTAGATGCCAAGAAGTTCTTTAGAGAGCCTATAAACATGAACAACAACAACAAATCTTTAATTCTCACCTGATTTGCAGTCACAAAGAAGTCCACCATATTTAACGTTTCATATCACATCTTCTTGCATTTTTTTGGGCTCCCCTTCACACATATACTGTCAGAAAAAACACGTTTCCTCAAACTATCTCTTATTATTTCTTATTGTCTTCAGATGATAACCTTTGACATACTGACATGCAGTAAAATTAAGAGTTATACACGACGATTCCAGCAGTCACGAGGGGTCACTGAAAAGGTTCAGGAACAGTTTTGTATTCCACAAGCTGTGAACTGTCTGAATACATATGGGATTCAGGAAGCACTCTCCACAAGCATCATCAATACACCAAATGAGAAAATATCTAATGTTGTTTGTTCCTCCAGTAATGTTCCACACGTCGATTTTCCTCCTGTGTACATTTGTGTTGAAGCGTAGCAGCACTGACTGCTTGATGAGCTGTGTATACCTTTATGTAGTTGTGCTTCGTTAGGCTTGTGTTTTCCCACTCTGGACATATTATGGACTTATAGAACTTTCAGTTGAGTAAATGTGCTTTACATCCAAACCTGGATACATAATTCATGTTCTATGAATAAACATACATTAGTCAAGAGTAAACGGCACATTTCCTGGTATTTTGGAGACTTTTAGACTCGGAAAAGACGACCTTTTGTAACTGTGACGCACATGTAGACTTTCTATTTGGTGTTACAGCAATGTTAGCACATGTTCAAATTCAAATTTATTTGTCACACACACACAACCATACACAGTATGACATGGGGGTGAAATGCTTGTAGCTGTACAATGCCCGACCATTAAATGACAGAAAAAAGTTTTACAGTATTTACAATTTACTACAAAATTTACAAATTAACTTAGGAATTTACAATAAAAATAAAAATTTTAAAAATTAAAAAATTAAAAAAAATGTGCAAAAAAAAAAAAAGTGCAATGTTGTGCTAACATTTAGTGGATCTGTCATAAGGCTGAGGGGAGCGCGCAAGAACTGTTCCATAACTTGGTGATCAAGGCAAGGCAAGTTTATTTGTATAGCACAATTCAACAACAAGGTGATTCAAAGTGCTTTACAGAGACATTAGAAACAAAAACAAATAAAAAGCATGATTTAAAATTGATTAAAACAAGCAAACAAACTAACTAACTAATTAACAAACAAACAAACAAAACAGTATATAAAATCAAAACAGATAAAATCAAAACAGATAAAATCAGTAGTTAAAATGTAAGTTTTGAAATTTAAGCTTAAAGTGTGGATTTGGTGCTTTATTCAAATGCAGCTGAGAACAGGTGAGTCTTCAACCTGGATTTAAATAAACTGAGTGTTTCAGCTGATCTGAGGCTTTCTGGGAGTTTGTTCCAGATATAAGGAGCATAAAAGCTGAATGCAGCTTCTCCGTGTCTGGTTCTGACTCTGGGAACTGATAAAAGACCGAATCCAGATGACCTGAGGGATCTGGAAGGTTCATACTGGGTCAGGAGGTCACTGATGTATTTTGGTCCTAAACCATTCAGGCTTAAACTGAATGGCTTAAACTGAAACTCAAGGCTTAAAAACTGAGTGCATGATTAAATGCTGGCTCTAAAGTAACACGTTCTGCATCTGTTTTATGAAAACTGAATGCAAGCCAAAGCGGAAATGCAGGAATTGCTTCTTTGTGAAGTATCAGCCAAATAGATGACAGGGAGAGAACAAGGCAAAGCAGCTGAAGCTGCCAACCTAGAGATGCTGATGATTGTCGCATTTTCAATCACGTTAGAGTACCTGAGCTCTGTAACATCTGATGTGTGATTCTGCTGGTTCAGAAGTGGGAGCAGCAAGACAGTGGATGTCAGGAAATGAAGATAGAAAGGAGAAGAGAATAGAAAGGAAAAGGGAGATTTGGGAAAGGCTGGGGAAATGAGATAGAGTTGGATAAAGGTGAAGGGAATTAGGGGGAAATGGGAACACATGAGAGAGGGAACAGTGGTAAAGAAAAGGAGACTAGAGGATCAAAAATGGGAAAGGAAGTGCAGGGTAGCAAGGAGAGAAAAGAGGAAATGATAAAAGTGCACGATAATGAAAATGGGAGCAAGGAGCGAAAAGAAGAAAAGTGAAGGGGGAAGAAATAACACATGCAGATAAGATAAGAGTTAATAAAAGATAGAATGGCTGTAGGATAGTTTTCTGCTCTTGGGGCTTTGAGATATGACCCCAACGCGCACACACACACACACACACACAAAAAGAATACAGTCCAAGATTGAAGGAAGAACATGCAGATAATCGAGGCACTGGGATTAATAATGAGATCTGGGAAGTGAGGGGGTTGAGTGGAGGAGTGGGATTACGGCTCCCGGCCCGGCGTTAACAAACGCAATTCCCAGCAGACAACGAATGAGCAAAACAAAGCTGCCTTAAGAGGATTGGAGAGCTTCGCAATTGTGTCTAAAACTATGCCTGGGATTGTCTTGTGCTCAGAGAATTAGCGTGACATCACCAAAATGAAAATGCAGGCGTGAATGTTTCCCTGGTACCTCCAGGTCTTACACTCCAACAAAACTTTTGAGTATGAATGACTTTTTAAAGCCTAAGGGGGAAAAAAAACAATAAGCAACAAATAAATAAAAAGGTATAAAATCACAGGTAGCTTCTTCCTTCTCTTATTTCCTTTTCTTACAAGTGTTTCTTACCAGTGAGGTGTTGCAGCATCCTTATTGGTCCGTGGAGTAAACTGTTCTTCCACAGAACACGACGCCATAGGGTGTTAGTGCAACCTGCTGTTATAAGCAGTAACCTCAGGAGCTGAAAAAACAAACAAATG